GCGTCAAAATGGTGGAAGTGCGTATAGTACATAATTTCAAGCATGATGATTGGTGAGTCATCTTTTAAACTGTACTTATATGTCCTTTTGTGTACTTTTTATGCACTAAACTTCTACAACAAATAAATCCGTATTAAACTAAAAAACACATAAATTTAATATTCATATATATTTTTTGTTTATGAATAAACTAATTACAATTTAAAAACATTGATTTACATACTTGACGGTTTCATTTTCCCAAATAAAGTGCGTATATACAAATGCATAAATTCGAAATTGCCGCGTTTCGTATCAAAATGGATACAAGTATGCAGTACTTTGTAAATCTAGTGACTTTAATTATCACGAAGAATTTCATCCTCTTCACAGGCGAGATGGAGGGAGAATCAGATGTTGGTCTCCGTACTATGACTAATCGACTCTTCCGCATCACTCGCCCAGCGCAGATTATCCGCGAGGATGCGCAAAGAAAAAGTCAAGCTAAAATAGAACTGTGATAGTTAAAATCTGTCCTTATAGGGACAGATAATGTCATTGCTGTCAAAGCTCAATTTATTAACTGCTAAAATTTAGGTGCTGCAGCGAAAAATATTCTTTGCTAGAATAAAATGGCAACCGACAGCGTCCCAGAAGCAATTGTGAATGGAATGTTTAATTACACGGCTTAGATAGTGACGAATAATTGCCACTTACTTAGTTGCTCATGTTAAGCATGCTTTTAATTTTAATTAATAAAATTGAATGTCGGCAGCAAATATATTTTATCTTCAACAGCCAACTTTTATCAATAACAGCGAAGTTTGAATCAGCAACTGATATTTAGTTGATATTACTAAGTCTTTTCTTTGCGTGTAGGGGTTGATAATGATCCTCAGTCCCGAATCACTCTCGAACAGTGCAGGAACAGGTTCTACCCCGACGGACAATGATTCAGATTCGCTTGGAGAAAGCCTGCCACCATCTTGGTTATGGCTTAGATAGTTCCTCCAGACATACTTCTATATGGGAGTCCTTCGAGGACTTTCCAGCAGGCGTCGTGCCCGTTCCTGACTGGACGGGGAGAATTTCCCCGTCAGCACTTGAGGCCGGCGCCCGCGAGACTAATTGTGATTAACTATGGAGAAGAGGCAGTCGACAGCTCACTGGGTTGATCTCTCTTGGCTGTCTTTCCTTCCTTCTTCTTCTTACCTGCTATTCATTTAGCAACACCGATGCGATGCTGGGATAGCTTGTTGATCGCACATTTAGAGTAGCAGGCAAGAAACTTGCACTCACATGCTGTATGACCCTGCCAATCACACTGGGTTGCGTTCCAAAATTTAACTCTCACTTCAAGTATCATTTTATCCTTGTCATCGAATATTGAATAAAGATAAAAGATACTCGAAGTTGACAGTCAAATTTTGAAACGTCCTGATAGCAGCAGCCTGATCTGATGATCGATTTATCTTGGCGCAAAACTGTAATTTAATTAACAATTACAAATTGCAATTTAATTCTTAATTCAATTAATTACGAAATATAATTACTAATTAAATTAAGAATAATTGAATTACATTGCAATTTGTAATTGTTAATTGAATTACACTTTTGCCCAACTCTGTGCATAGTGAACAGAATCCAATTGAAATCAGGAATTCATTCTCATATTCAAAGGAATGTTTTTCAAAAGTTCATGAAATTCATTGTTTAAAAATGAGGGAAATCCATTCGCATTTAAGCGACCTAGTAGAAAATGGAGTCTAATTAAAATATTGCCAATTATTCCTACATTATTCCAACCATATATTACATTGAAAACTGTGTTGTTTATGGATTACTCGATTCTCATGTGATCAAACATGAGTATTTCTTTGATTATCTTGACTATATATCACTTCATCTGTCTACAAAATGTTTTGTGAAAATTGTGAATCGTTATCTATTTGGTTTAAAAACCAATCGCAAAATGCTCTCCTGCGTGGCATATCAGTCAGTAATAAATACTGGGCACGTTGAAAACGTGATATGGATGTCCATCGGCTGAAAGTGTTTTCCATATGATTGTGAGTGGGAAATTCCTAACGCAGAACCAGATCTTCGGGTATTTGTTGATGAGTTTTGCTCGAAATGCTACAATATGGCTGTCATTTTGCAGTGGTGCAAAAACTTCATCAGCCCGGGGAATCATATTAAATGATCCAGTTTCCTTCAATCGTTGAAATGTTTAAGGGAATATTGATTTATCCGGCAATCTTCTGTTTCGCGGAAATCCCGCGGCGCATTCACGACGAGCAGCATTAGCTTGTGATTTTCATCACAAAACCCATATAAATATCGATATACCATATCGGTATATTCACTATTAGAATATGTAACGAGGCATGATTATAAGTTTATTCTACAAAAGCATTCAACAAACTAATAGCTATGAACTACGAGCTTTGCGAACAAAAGCCTATCAATGACTTTTGAGCTTCAAAACAAAAACAAGAGATATTTTATTTATTTATTTCTACAGTTCTATATGATTTCAGAAGTAAATATCTCGAACAAAGCGTTTGCGAGCATACGTCCAGAGGGAAATTTTTATTTGTTTTGAGATATCCTGCATTCACATTTTAAGTTTGGCGGTTTAATCCGTGAACTCTGTAGGGGAAATCGGAGCACCGATTGTTTAACATAATTTAGAATGTTTAAATTAATACTATGATACAATACAACTGTTATTTCGTTGTTATAAAAAATAAATGTTAGATTATTACTTATAACATAGTAAGATGAGAAAAGATGCGCTTGCATTTATGTTTTACTAAAAAAACAATATTAAAACATTTTTATGCAATTAAAAAATTACTATTGCACTATGAAATTATTAATGATCGATGCTTTTCAATAGAATTTAACTTACCTGTTAAATTCTACTGTTACCTACCACTGTTACCTATATTTTTTATCTAGTGGTAGGTAGGCTTGCTTCAAAAATGATGTCTTCTCGTTGCGTTTATAGTCGCAAATGGAAATGCGATCCATCAGATTTTTCTCCGTTAAATCGGAACCAACATAAAAACGGTTTACCATGGTATGTAGTCAAGCTTCACAAAATATTCGTGGATGGTGGATTTTGACATTTAACATTTCTGCTAATTTACATGTCGTATAGCGTGGGTCATTCTCGATCAGTGTTTTAATCTGATCTTCATCTGTGGTGGAGGGTTTACCCGGGCGTTCTTGATCTTCAAGGTTGAAATCACCAGCTTTAAACCTAGCAAACCACTTCCGCACAGTTCTTTCAGCTACAGCACTTTCGCCATAAACAGCGCATATCTTGTTTGCCGCTTGTGTGGCATTTTTGTCTTTCCGGTAAAAAAAAAGCATTAAATGCCTAAAATGCATTTTGTTTTTTTCCATATTCAAAGACGTAAAACTGACAAAAATTAACGTATCGCAACCAAATTTTTTTCCAAATATGTCTGAAGTACCATCTTTTATCGATATGTACGCATGTCATTTGTTTTCAATCGTTCTGATATATTCAGACTTATCTTTACGCCACCTACCAAAAATCGGCACGAACTTTCCGGGCAACCCAATATTAAATGTATAATTGGAGTACATGGATCATACATAATATTAAATATTAAATATTCACGGAACAGTGAATCCATGAATATTAAATATTCACGGATACAGAAAGTATATGTACTAAAAAGGCAGTTTATACTTCTAAGCAATTAATTTTATTTTATCGTAATAAATTTTTTATCTTATATTAATGGTTATTTCTCATTTGTTTTCTTATAATTTTCTATTGTATTATTTAATAATTATTAATTGTAATTA